CTCCTTAGTAATGTTTCTGACCAGAAAAATTGCTGAGGAAACCATGAAGTATTTGAAATTGAATGGTAGCCATTTTTATGTATAGCTCCTAGGTTAAAGACTTTAATTTTGTATCTCATTTAATCCTCATAATGACCCCATGAAGCAGGTAATGACTTCTCAGTTTTATTAGGTAAGTAAAACCAGTAAAACTTGTCCAGCGAAATCTAGTTTAAAACATAGTGTGATATACTAGGACGAAGATTGGGAAGAGTTAACTCTTTCGGTGGGCAGATGCAAAAATAATGAAGTATATCAGACTCCACAAACTCCTACCCTCCTCTTAGTAATTTGTTGGTAGTCTTTTTTTTTTCTTTAATAAGATAAACTAATTTTTCATAAAGAAAGCAATTTACCCAGCACAGAAACGTTAAACTTGAAGTCCAGCTAAAAAATAAGGTAGGAAGTTCATGTGAGGTACTGTATAAATTTTCCAAGATCTAAAACCCATAAAGAAACCGGAGGTACAACTTTGCAAAGATAAATGGCTGAGAGCATCAGAACAAGTAAGAATCGGTCAGATAATGCTGTGATTACAAACAGCCCTAAAATCTCAGTGGCTTATGACAAGAAAGGGTTAATTTTTGCTTGCACTGACTAGTGAGGTTTGGCTGGGGGGCTCACTCTAGTACCCAGACTAAATCAGCAGCCATATCCAGCACTGTAGCAGATGGAAAGGGAGCGTATGGAATCACACACTGGCTCTTAAAGCTTCTACATGGAAGAGACATACAATTTCTGCTCACATTTTATTGGCCAGAACAAATCATATGGCCGCACTTGATTCAAAAGGGGTAGGAATTACATTCCTACCATGTACTGAGAAGGAGAGCAACCAAAACTTGGTGAGCAATACTAACTGCCACAGTGAGATCTTAAGAAAAATAGCAGCAAAAGCTGCTTAACGAACGGAAAGTTCTGGAGCTAAGGGTAGCATTAGAGGTTTATAATTATGTGGACATTTGATGACTTATTTATAATGGTGACTAAGAGGAGAATGATATTTAATACATAACTTCATTAAAAGTGGTACAATTGTTGGCCAATTTATACTGTGAGAAATTTGCTGAAAAACACCTTATGATCTGTCACTGGAAATAGTACTGATTAGGTCACACTGAGACTTTGTATGAGATGTTTTTAATCAACTTTCTTCATTCTCATTGGAGGCTTGATCAAACACCATTATGTTACTTTTAACTCATCTTTTTTTTTTTTTTTGAGAAGGTGATTCTAATAGTATTTCCAGTTGCATTGCTGTCTGCTGGCATTGGACTTAAGGAACTTTTTATGTTATGAACTTATGTACTAAATTTCATGGATGAGATGAGATTCTACATATTGCTGCTTCTATACTTTATTCAGTAAAATATCTAATTTTAAACTATTATATAGAAAATGAACTAGGTGACTCAAACATGTGTCATTACTAAAATCACCTGTTTCCAGTGGAAATCTGATCTCCATTCTCCAAATACAAGAGATTCCTCCCTTTAGAAAGCACATGTGAGAGTTTTCTTAGGTTATGTTTCCTCAGAAGCTAACACGAACAGCAGGATTGAAGGGCAAGTACTGTTGTCTATTTAGGATGTGATCTTAGCACCAGAAGGAGAGTGAGACAGGTAAGGAAGGAAGGAAGCCAATATGGGTTTCCCTAAAGAGCAGGTGACTGCTGCGGGCAACTGAGACTCAAAGTTGGCGACCTCTGGGAGAGTGCAGAATACAAATTAATACAAGCATACCTCGGAGATATTGCAGGTTTGGTTCCAGACCACTGCAATAAAGCCAGCTGTAATCTTTTTGCTGGTAGAGGGTGTTGCCTTCAATTTGTAAAAAATAACTTTTGCGAATACAATAAAGCAAAGCACAATGAAAGGAGCTATGCCTATAGAATCCTTCTTCTAGGTGGGGAAGCTGGGGTAATTTTAAACTGACTCCCCTCTTGATTTCTTGAGGGCTGCTCTGAGAGGCATTTACTGCCTGGCAGTTCCAGACCGCACCCCTGTAGTGGCAAAGTGGGGTCTAGCAGCTAGAGGAAGCCCTTGAACAGAGAAGCAGAGGGGAAAGACTTGCAGTAAGATACCATTAGCTTGCCAGTAGGAATGACAGGGTAGAGCCCCAACTGAAGCTCCAACATTGTCAGTACAGAGAGGATACTTGGGTTTCTAAGCCCATTTGCTCTGATATAGTCATCTTTGAGCCTAGATGTTAGCTTTTAAACAAATATTAAAAATGTGGCATCTGAGAAAAGATGACACCTTTTTAAAAGGTAGTAGTGGCTAGGTCATACACAGTGTGGCTCAAGAGTGGAGATGAGAGGAGCTCTGACTAGTTAAGGACCAAAATTCTCGGGAGAAATATAATTGTTCACAAGCAGGCTGTAAAGGGAGATGCCTCAAACAGCTGACAGGTGTGTTTCCTAAAGCAGGGAGAAAGCCTTATTAAAGACATATACTTTTACCTAGCAAATGACCCTTACTCCTCATTTCTTGAGAAAAGAGAAACAACCAGTTGATATTTTCAAAGGTTTGGTAATATTTTAATATTCAATTAGTATACTTTTACAGGAAGTGGGCTTTTGGTGATTATTTAGAAGTTAGCGACTCGTAGTCCATTTACCCTAAACTCTAGTATTTTCAAGAGACAGCATAAGAGAACTGTCTAGAAGTACTGACTTTTCATTATTTTCCAAACAGATCCCCTAGGATATTGGAAAGGAAGGGTTTGTCTGGTGGAAGGTGGAGTTCTCCTAAAAAGAGAATTCTAGAAGTCGTCATAATTAAACAAAGAGGAAAACGTGCCAGACAAGAGTGAGTGAGGGCTGTTTTTGTGGTTGGCTGTGTTGCGTTCAAGATCCCTCAGATGAGGCTTTGGGGCTTTCAGTAGGAGGAGAGTGGCTGCCCAGGAGACCCAGGGCTCTAGGAATACGGGTGCAGGTGTCCTGGTCCTGCAGGTGAGGAGGCCCATGCGCTTGAAGGCGAGCTGGGTGGGCGGAGAGTCTTGACTCCTTCCCGTAGCCGCTGGTGGGATCAAACAGCCGGACTGGCGCGCAGGAACCCAGCCCGACCCGCGCAGCTCCCACGCGCGCTCGCTCACGTACCCGGCCTCAAGCCGCTGTCGGAGCCTCTCCCCGGCTTGGCCACTCCTCCATTTCTGTTTGCCGACTCTTTACTCCGACCACACTGCCCAGCGCTGCGCGCGTCCAAACTAAAGAAACTCGTTTCCTTCTCTTAGGGGAGCGGGGGAAAGCACGTGGTCCCCTCGCCCTGCACCATGGATCGTCCTGAGCGCGGGCCAGAACAGGCGACACGAGGAGGGGCGCTCATCGTCCGGGAGGGTCCGAGGAGGCGGGCATCTCTGTCCCGGGATGCAGTTGTTCCCATTTCTCCTCGTGTTCTCCGCGCCACGCGCGCGTACTGCGGGGGGAAGTTGGTTGCAAAGTTTCCGAGCGAGGCGTAGACTTGAGCAAGTGGTGCTCAGAATGGGCGCAGACGCGGGAGGCGAGGACAGAAGAGCTCCTTGCGATGTCTTTGTTCTGCTCAAGGGGACAGACCTGGCCGGGAGTCGCTGGGCGAGTGAGGGGACCGCAGCCGTGACATTCCGGACCCAGCAGGGGCTCTTTGGTCCTTCCCCATCTCTTCTGGCATCTCCCTTACCTCCAACCCCGGCACTGCTCTCAAAGCCCCAAGCCTCCTCCACCCCAACCCTTTACCCACAAACTTCACCGTCCTGCGAGGATCCCACATCTGGGATGGGGAAAGACTGTGAAGGCGAAGGTGCGCTCTGGGCTGAGCGCATTCTGGAGGTTGGGTATTTGCTTTGGAATTTTGGTGGGTTTTTCCTTTGCCCTAGAACTGCGGGCCCCCACTCTCTCACATTTCCCGCCCCCCACCCCCGTCTTTCCCCCTCTTCAACTTTAGTGAGATTTAGAAGAAAAATTAGCGCTGCTCTGAGTCACTCAGAGAGACAATGCTGTGACCCGCAGTTGGGATAAGGGCCTAGAGATGGGGGAGATGAAGATGGAGCCCCAATTCTAGAGTTTTGAGAACTACTGGTAAAATACCTGGGGAAGGGACAGGAGCTGTTCTTGATCTGGACACCTGATTTGCCCCGGCTAAGGCGGTGGGGGAGGGGATGGAAAGAGGGGACCAGCCGCGCCAGTGATAGAGGATGGGAGAGCGCCTGGGACCTCGAGTCAGATCTTTGGGGGTGAGGATAAGGCGGTGGCCTAGGGAAGGGAACAGGCGAGTAGCGCTTGGTTCCAGGGTCAAAAGGAGCGCGATCTTCCAGAGCCTTGCTGTCCTGGATTGAGGTTCTGGCAAGTTCGGGATCTAAGAGGTGGGCGCGATGCTCGAGGTGGGGATCCGCCGGTGAGCCCCTGGACCGAGTTGCGCAGCGCTGGAGCAACAGGTAGCTCGGAGCTGGGCTTTGTCCTGAGGATTAGAGGGGCTCTCCTAAAAGACAGTGTGGTGGGATAGGAGAGGGGTGGGGTGTGGGGGGATTGTTCCAACCCCTGGAGCCTCTCTGAGTTGTTTTGGTGTATTAGGTAGAGGGAATGAATCTGGGTGGAGGAATAAGGATGGAGAGCTTGGGGTGCGCCCACCAATAATTGTGTAACCGCTGGTATCCTCTGGGGTTGACCCCCAGCCCTTCGCATTTTGTCGCCTGGGATGATTAAAAACTGACAGAAACTCGATGCCAAAGTGGATTGTTCACGTTGATTGGCAGGGAAAGTGCGAACAAAGAGGCGCATCTCCCGGAAACAATGATTTTGGAGATCCCCCCCCACCCCCCCGCAGATCTGAGCGCGTTGGGAAGGGGGCGTTATGGAGGTTATGGAGGGGACCAGGGTCGGCATCTCTGGGGAAAGTTGGAGCGAGGTAGTGGGAGGAGATGGTCGGGTCGAGTGGCCTGGAGATGGGGACTGAGCGGGGGGGCGGGGAGGGAGGGACGGGAGGGGAGGGGAGAGGAAGAAGGGGTGAGAGGGAGAACCTGCCGCTGCTCGCCGCCTCTTTGTCTGCTCCGGGACTGGGAACAAAGGGGGGAACTCTGATGAACTCTCCTCCCCTCGCCCCGGACGCCCGGTTATCTCCCTGTAGCAACTTTGCAGCCTCGACTTTCTGCGGTGTCAGGCCACACAAAAGTGTCCATGCGCTTTGCGGACTGCAACAGGGGAGCGTCTCTGAAAAGTGTGACCAAGTGGGAAAAAGGTGAGTGGAGGCTGTTGTCTTGTTTATCTCTCTCTCCCCCTTAATGTGCCCTGCTCCCCGCCCTAGGAGGACAGAGGAATCGTCTGTCCAGTGACTAAGTTTGGCTAGAAAGTTGTACCTCCTTTCTCTGCTCCCTTGTCTTTTGTTCTTTAACGAACTTGCACAGATGGTTTTATTTGTTCATTTTTAATAGGCAAAAGCCAGACAGGCATTTTTCTCAAGTGCCTCTTTCCATGAGGAACTGGTGATGGGGTGGGGGACAGAGTATATCAAGGGGGTATTGCCTCATTTTCCTCCAGCTGCATGTACAAGGGAGAAAACACACTGAAATCGATGGGGTCTTAACAGTCTCACTCCCACCCCGCCCAGACTTTGTCATGCAAAAGAAAGAGATACGGAACTGGGGGTCCTTTCCTCACTGTTTTATAACTTAACTGTCTGCGGAGCGCTCAGCAGATCCAACGCACAATGCCAAAGCTGCAACAATAGAATGCAGAAGAGCTTTGAGTTGGTGGGGAGTGGACTCTTGTGCTTGTGGTCCAGGGGGTTAGAGCAAACAGGTAAGAGTTAAGAAAGTTTTCTTTGGGGCTAGGGTAGGTGGGGGAAGCCACAGGTTCCTGACTGTCAGAGATGCAGAGATGGAGGGATGGGGCCTGGACCACTAGTTAGAATCGGCCATCCTGTGCGCCCCTTTAGTTTCACCACCCACCCAGAATAACCTATGTTGTCCTTAGGATCCATCATCACCTCTCTCACTTTACTCCCCCTCACCCCCTTTTTCAACGTGTTTGAATAGAAAGTGGAACGTGAGCCCCAGAGGCTCCTGAGACCCTGCCCTCCGCCTGCCTTTTGTGTTTTAACCTTTTGTTTCCATCAGCCACGCCCGCCCCAAAGAGGGATGGCTGTTGCGGCTCTTTTGAGTGCAAAGGCAGCGGAATCTCCTCCTTGTTTATAGGCAAAGGGAGACTCCCTAACTTTGTTTCCAAAGTAAGTAGTTAACCTTCCCAGTGTTTCTGAGTTGGTTCTTGCTTAAATGAGGCAACCACTCTGCAACTAGTAAACACCTTCACTATATATGAAATTTCTTTAAGTGCTTTTTTACTTTACCACAAAAGTTGTTTATCTGCCTTGTCACTTGGTTAATAGAAAGACATTTAGGGACAGCAGTTGAGAGTTTGTTGAAAGTGGGCAAATGTAGTATGGTCTAGCTACTATGATATGTTGAAATATTAGGAATGTGCGGAATAGGCTTTTTAAATTCAACAATGCAAATTTAGGTCATTATCATTATGTTTTATGGGATCTTCCAAATACCAAAGTAATTTATCACCATCTCCACTCTCCTCTCCCCACCCATGGGCTAGAGGCTTCCCTCACACTCTGGGACTTACCCGCCTTTTCAGTTTGCCAAGAGAAATGAAACATCAAACTGAATGTGCTGCTAATAACTGGAAGAAACATCCAAACACTATTTTAACTTCTTAAAGTTATGATTTTGTATAGTGGTATCCATTAAAACTTGCACCTATTGGAGATTTGAGTGTCGGAACTATGTAGCTTTGAATTTTTACATCAACGACTGAACTATGTTAACGCTATGAAACTGAGTGTATAGAATGACTTGGAAGCTAATGTTAATTAATTTCAATTTTACAGGTGTGGTTATTATCAACATCTAGCAAGCATCATGCAGTGCATTGTTCTTACGAGATCTTAATATCAGTGAACATTATGGAAGTACCAGTACAACGTCACATCATTCGTGGATGAAAAGTTATCAAACTTCTTCATTTGGAGTTACATAAGATTCAAAATGATGGGAGTTCTGATGATGCCTTCCCTATCTGGATTACTACAGTTTGAACACTGGAAATTCTCTGCCTTAAGGAAGGTACTTTTCTTTTTAAATACTCTACAAGTGCTTCGTTTTGGGGCTGGTGCTAATGCCATTAGAGAATTTTCTAGTTATTTTGGGCTGTTGCCTGATCAAGGTGATTTGTGACTTCAGATTTCCTTGTTTTGAACAGGTTTTTGTAGGTTCATTTTCACTTGAAATAAGGATTTGTGTATTTACGATGAATTTTTATTTTAAAAAGTGTTTTTCAACATTAGCACACATATGAATGTGGATTATGCTATAACTAAGGAAAGTTATGTAACAATGATGGGTCCAATAGGCAATTGTCTTATTTTATTTATGATTGATTTTGTTGTTAAATATCTCAGTGAATGGTTCTCATTAGTAGAACTTTTGTGGTTCAGATTTTTTTTTTTCACTTTTGACATTTCATTTTGGTAAACAAAATCCAAAAGTGACCAGAAACAAATGAATTCCTAATAACCAGGTGTCAATATAAAGCACAAGTTATAACAAAATGAAAACTTGACTATGTAATAACAAAGAAGCTATAAATTTGTTTTGTCTTTATAGTATACATCAAGTTTTTATGATGTTCATTAAGAGTCTTATATTCCTTCTTTTAAGTCTTACAATTCATTTTTGTTCACCTCTGAGAGAAAGCAATTAAAGTTCACATAAATACTGTTGGTAATAAAAAAGTGTTTTGATACAGTATTTACTTTCCTTGTTTGCCATGGAAAGCGAGAGTTTTCTTTGTTTAAAATAGGGTGCTTTGAAATGATTTAAGTTGAAAGATTTGATTATCAAAATGATTCAAGTTCAAGGTGTTTTTTAATCTTACAGGTGGAGAATTTCATTGATATATTACTTTAATTTAAAATGTTAAGGTCTTAAAGAAGATGATTGGGAATTGGAAATATTTTTATTCTGCTAAGTTAAAAAGTATTAGAATTTGCTTCTTTCTAGTTGTATAAACTTGGACAAACTATTTAGTCTTCCCGGACTTTAGTTTATCATCTATAAAATGAAGGTTACGTTAGGAAACTTTACCAAATCTTTTAGCTTTAAGATTGTATGACTTGCTGATTTCTCCTGTAATTAAGGTGCATCCTCTCTTATGAAGTTTATTTTTAAATTGTTGAACAATACAGTTACTGATGTGGAAAATTTTAGGTATATCAATAATCATTCTGTATGAATTCTTAGCTCAGGGACTACTAGTTCAGGAAATATGTTTTAAAATTTCTGTAAAGTATACTTTCGGCAAAGCATGCTGTGTGGAGATGTCAGAGTTCCTCAAATGTTCTTCAGATGTTTTCCACAAAAGTTTATCTGCTGGAATAATTTAGGGGGATAGAGAGTGCAGTATTATTTTCCATCAAGTGTTTTACCTTCCAATGTATGAGGTGAATATGTTTGAATTTGTTCTAATGGTGACCTAAAGTTGGGCTCAGAGGTTTAGACACAGATTTTTGAATGAAACAGACCTGAGTTTGAATCCCAGCCCGGGCAACTAACTCACAATGGCCAGTTTACTTGATTTCCTTGTCTCAGTTTCTTGATTTATAAGTGAGGATCATAACACTTACCTCCTGGGGTTGTTGTGGAGAATATAGTTTTAAAAGCATATATGTGTGAGTAAAAAACTTGATAAAGGGTTAAGCATCTGTAAACCTAACAAAAGGCACTATTTCCACCATTCACAATGAACTTAGTGATGATTGGACACTTCTCACTTTATTGTTGACTGCCTTACAAGTTTCAAGCTACGTTAACCAAAAATATTCACTGAAATATCCAAAATCAGTTGGGATAGAAACATTCACATATTTAAATGTTTTTATCTAAAAACATTCTATTGAATTCTTTTATCCAGTTAAGTGTGGATTAATATGCTTCAATAAACATTTATTAAGTCTCACTATGTGTAAGCATGTCTGAAGGTCATTGCTTCATCTTGGAATATGTGACCATTCTATATCCTTACAGAAATTTCTGTAAATCAAGATAATAGCAAGTTTCTAGAATTGATTTACTCAAATTCTCTTTTCAATGCTATCAGTAGCATTGAGTAGACTTAGATATAGTTTTAAAAATTTTGTTATTCACTTTTCAACTTTAGTATAAAGTGATGGTTCAGTGGTTTGTTGATGAGGAAATCAAGAACTGTTGCACATTTTCTGATGTTAGTTTTTATAGAATGGTCTTAAATAGAAAACTCACAGTATAAATGACACTTAGAAGAATAGCATCATGAAATTAAGTTTAAAGTCCTGGATTTTCATTTTCTAGATCTGTAATTTAGCAAGATACATTGCCCTTCTCTGTGTAATTATTTAGTTTGATGAAGATTATATTCATTTACCCTTAGGAAATTTTTGATGGGAATGGAATGTTAAGGTATTGCTTCTTCTCATTTATAATTCACCAGCAGGTAGTCTTCTAGAAATGATAATGTTAAGAAGAAAAATATTAAGTAAGTCATTATTAAAATAGAAAATTATTTTTTCTCCAGGTATATCCACAGTTTTGTGGACAACATATATTTTAATCAGATCAGGAGACTGTATCATTAGTATAGCAACTAGTAATATAATAATTTGTAATTACAAAGTTTAAAGTGAAAAATTCCTTTAAATTCTTCAATGTGATGTTAATTTTTAAATTATAACCAAATATACTTAATAACTTTATTCTAAGTATCATATTTTATAGTCTTAGATATTTAAAACTCTTCATTGATGTGAATTAGTTTGAATTGCTGAAACCAGAACAATCTGCCAGGTTGTTTCTCACAATAAACTTACCTAGAAAGAAAATCTAAATATTCATCTCTGCCATCTAAAAATGATGAATACAGTGCATATTAAACATCTTAGAAGTAAATAAAAAACATCTGTAAACTTTATATTGAGCCTAGGAGGTGATCACCTGAATATTTTGTTGTATTTTGAATATCATTTCTATGTATTTATTTGTCATGAGTTTCTTTAGGTACAGTAGGTGTTCCCATAGTCACTTGGATTTCTTCACTATGACCTCAGATTTGCTGTTATTTAAGTGCCAGTCATTTCTAAGAACTTTGATGGTAGTTCTGATTATTGTTCAAGATACAAATGTTTAGAAATATATTTATCATGAACTGTGAAAACTTTGTTCATTCTTTCCTTATTCATTCTTTTAGGTATATTTATTTGGTGTCTTTTATGTGTCAAGCATTGTTCTAAGCATTGAGGATACAAAAGAAATAAAAATCCCTGCACTCTTAGAACTTCTACTATTGACAGTAAAATATATGTTAAAAGGCAGCAACTACTTACTATTGAATAGAATAAACCAGGAAAGGGAGGTAGGGTGTAGGAGGGAAGGGAGTTGCAATTTTCAGTGAGATGGCTTGGGATGACCTCATAGAGAAGGTGACATTTGAGGAATGCCATGAAGGAAGTGAAGGAATGAGCTGCATGATGTTGGGTAGAAGAACATTCAGGTAGAGGCATGATGAGTGCCTGGTGTATCAGTGGAAACAAGGAGAGCATAGTAACAAATAGAGTGAGCAGAGGGCATGGTGGTAGAACATGAGGTCATAGAGGAAATGGGAATACGGTGAGTAGATTACATGGATCCTTAAAGGGCATTGTGAGGACTTTGGATTTTTCACTGAGGGAGATGGGATTCTATTGAAGGGTTTTAAATAATGATTGACCTGATGTAACTAGTGTTGTAACAGGATTACTCTGGCTGGAGGGTTGAGACCAGATCAAAGGTGGGCAAGGGCAAAAAGAGGGAGAGAGACTATTTAGGAAACTATTTCAGGTATCAAGCGAGAGGTGATGGCTACTTAGACAAGGGTAAAAGTACACAGATGCAGTGAGAAGGAGTTGAATTTGGACGATATTTTGGCGGGAGGATTTTCTGGTGAGTTGGATTGGAATTCTGAGAGAAAGAGAAGAGGCAAGTATAACTTAGATTTTTGATGTGAGCACCTGAATGGACTGAATGCCCATTAACTGAGATGAAGTGTGGGCTTGGGATAAGGGAGACCAGAAGCTCAGTTTGCACCCATTAATATTAAGGTATGTCTTAAGCATCTAGGCAGTTTGATACACAAGTCTGGTTTTCAGGGTAGAAGTCTGGAGATAGAAATTTGTGAGTTAGAAGAAATTAACTGCTATTTAGAGCCAGAAGACTAGATGAGATTACCAAAGGAGTGAGTATAGAAAGGAAAGAGATCAAGATACTAAGCCTTGGGGCCCTCCATATTTAGAAGTTAGGAAGATGAGAAGGGGCAGGTAAAGAATAGTGAGAAGGGGCTGCCACTGAGGTGAAAGCCCAGTGAAGAAACTGTCACCAGGAGGAAGGCCAGATCATTTGTTTCAAGGGCTGCTGATAGCTTGACCAGTTGATGATTTGAGAATAGACCTTTGGGTTTAGGCATTTGGGAGGTCAATGCTTGTTGGTAATCTTGGCTAGAATACTTTTTAGTAAATGGTGAGAAATCTCATATTTTTTCTTAATTTGTGTGGTCCATTACATACCTTTAAAAAATCTTACCTACTCGAACTAAAATTAGTACTTTCTAACTGATAAAATGCTTTCACATGTTATCTTAGTTAAGTCTAGGAGAGATAGGATGATAATGTCAATGTTTATTTTACAGAAGAAGAAATTGAGACTCAGATATAAAGTGATTAGTCCAAAGTCACCCAAATATAAGATAGAGTTTTTTGTTTTTGTTTTTGTTTTTAAATTTTGAGCACTTTGCCATTCACAATAGAAGGGAAAGTAATAATAAAACAAATTCCAATATAATGTGATAGAAGTTAGAATAGCAGTGTGTACAAAGTACAGGATTATATCAAGGGGAGGGAGTGATTATCTTTTGGGGTCAGGGAAAACTTTCCTGAGTTAGGATTAAAAAAATACATTTTAACATGTGGTCAAAGGGAAGAACGTTTTAGAGTTGGAAAATATAATGTGCAAGAACATGGAGGGATGAAACGGGATAATAACTGGAATATATTTAGGATGCT